GATCCTGTGTGACCCCGAAACGTTGCAATAAGTGTATTGTTGCATGATGCGTCAATAAAAGACGTTTTTCTACTTTGGAGTGCCGGTGTCCATAACTCTTTATACTTTGCCTGGACGGTGGCCATCCGTCGACTACTGATGCACCCAACCCATTCATCAAGGATTTAGCGGTAAGGAGTGCAATGGGTACACTGACTATATCTGGCGACAGGTAAGTCGCCAGGATCGCTTCTGTTGTAAAGCCGACAGTCGGCTCTACAAGTTTAAACAGAGTCCCGGCAGGAAAAGTCACCGGGAGTCTGTTTAAACAGCCCCGATGCTGGCGACGTACACTGTACGTCGTCAGTCACGAAGGGGTTAAAATTAGAAAATAGCTCTAGGTGTGAATTATTTTCCAAGGCACTGTGTGGCTCGATTTACCAGCCCACACGGGGAATCATTTTTTACAAATATCTTTTAAATTAGTATGGGCTCCCAAAATGAATGCATCACAGGTTGACAAACATAATTGACATGTGAAATGTAAATGGTGCTAGGGGCAATAGCTTCAGTTTTGTTTTGCTTTTAGAATACTTCATATTGCCATCTGCATAAAAGGTTTTCTTAGAACAGTTCTGGTTTCTCTGATCACAAAGTTTCCTCTTACTTTTAGAACTTTCCCCAGGATAACCAAAAGGTTCGACTGTCAGTGAGTGGTTTTCTGTGTGCTTTTGAGATTCCAATTCCTGGTTCTCCTACATCAGCCACTAGCCCAAGTCAGCCAGGTGAGTAATTAAATTAAGGTTGTCCTTCTCCACCTATTTCCTTTTTATTTTTAAAATGTTAAAGTATCACAGCCTTTGCAGTTGGTTTAGTATTTCAGCAGTTCCCTAAAGCAAGGCCAATCTCTGTGCTGAGTAATGTGTAATAAGGCAAACTCTCTATGTTTGTGCTTGTTCTGCACAGGGGGACAAATGTCTATAAAAGTGGGATAATGTAGTTCTGATACAGGGAATCTAAGTATCATCAGGTTCACTGTGATTGAGGTTCCCACACCAATTTAAACATTAGAGTCTAGTTTTTGGACACTCAGATATTTAAACAGATCAGTCTGTCCCAATCCAAAACCATGAAAGTGGAGGTCATAGAAACCCTGTTGGCCTTTGCTCAAGTGCAAACCATGCAAGATGTGTTGTACAAAAAGTTAGTGGGAGATTTTAAATACTGACACATTCTCCTTGGTTAGTGCTGCTTGCTTCAATGTTTTAATATCATACACAATATCATTTGATTGCTAGGTCATTAATTACCCCAGCAAATGCCACTGAGGCAAGTCTAAATTAAAAGAGAACTATGAGGGGAGTGAAAATCACTTATCCTGATAGTTCGAGCCGGCGTGTGACAATGAAACTGTCGCACGTCAGGTCAATAGATCGGGAACACATACCGTCACTCGCTCACTTCTCGATCATGTCCCTGCAGACTGTCAGTCACGGCTCCCTGCAGGGATTCGCCCCATCCCCGCTCCGATACTCCAGTGCTGACTGGATGAACGGACGTGGGAGGGGGCATGTACAGCTGGCTCTGCCTCTGGATAGGCAGAGCCCGCTGTCACTCAGGCAGCCGGGATCCGTCCCGACTGTGGCTGTCTCCGTATACCGTGAGCTGTAGATCGCAATGTTCTGAGCTTTGGGTCACGGGAGGACACTAGTTTATGTCCTCCCATGACCCTTAGGAGAACTATGGGGGAAAACACTTATCCCACAGTTCTCTTTTAAGTGAACCTAGTAAGTTATTGAGGACCATAGTTAAAAATGACTGATTTAAGCATATTTGGTTAGATACATAAGGCTCAATTCACAAGGCTAACACACCAGGATAAGTATACTTCTTTTCAAAAAGTTACAGTAATTTTCAGTTGGGTCCAACAGAATTTACAGTCACATGGCTAAAATTAGAGTACTTTAGGCTGGTGTTAAAGCTCTGTGAATTGAGCCTATATTTATTTGCCTTATATTGATTGTTTTCATATAATGAACCTAATACAAAATACCTCCATTGTTTCATTATTGAATGCTGTTAACAAATTTATGATTTTGTGATGTAATGTTTTTTCTGAATTCTGTGGTAATTTCTTGCTCAGCAACAGGACACAATATCATTGCTCTATTTTTGTATTTGAATATATGTACAGTATGTGCAATACAAAAAAAGTATTTTCTGAATTATTTGCTTGTTGGTTAATTTTCTAATTGTTGCACATACAGAGCTAGCTTAGATGAGCCCATGAAATGTTTGTGCAAAGAAGTTAACCTGTAATTATTTTAATAGTGACTTCACATGAATCGGATTACTTTAAGTTTATGCTTTCTTGGTTTGTAGAAACGAGCACCGTGCCATCAACAAATGGACCTCACAGCCTCATTGCAAATGGAGTGCTAAATTGGCCACCGATAATCCCAAATGGAATGCCAAATACTGTAGTGCCATGTGGAACAGAGAAGACTATTGTTGGGAATGGAGTACTCAATGGTCATGTCTCAGTCCACCCTGAGGGCCCTTTCATAGGTTACATTATTGCAATTCACAGAAAAATGGTAAGATCACACATGTCAGTGTTTACCTTTCTTACTGTAATGTGCTTAAACAGGAAATAGAGAAGCTGATTGCAATGAAAGAAAGATATTGAATTGTAATTGCGTTTACCAGTTAAGCAGTGGAGCTGGTGGTAAGAAACAGCCTAAAAATTAATGTTTGTATTTTGGAAGTCCAGGTCCACTTAAAACTGTACTTGACATATTCTTAAGGATCTCTAAAGGGATCAACCTCTAAAGGGATCATGAATATGCTGTGGCCTTAACTTTTGTTTTACAGTACAGTTTCTACCTACTCCTGCTAGATTCTCATAAATTTAGCAAGGCATGGTACATGATTCAGAGCTGTATTTGAGTGTAAGAGTTAAGATCACTTAAGACAGTAATCCTCCCCTCCCATTCCTGGTTTTTGGAGAATTAAAATTATTTGTCAGAAGAAGATAATTTGATTGGCAGAGATTTGTTTTATGGATGTCCTTTGCCAGTTGTATGTGAAGATAATAAAATAGTGTGTTGAGTTAATGCTTGACTGGGATTCGGTGCACTTATATACAGAGCATATATAAATTTGGGAGGCGCATCAGCATTATTAGTAAGTCTTTTGCAAGCCAATGTCTTTATAGCTAGGCATGGCTATTGATTCAAATATTGCCAGTATTGGTGGAATAGGTGTAGAGGGTGCCAGACTTACACTTCCTATTTGCTTATATCAAAGTTAATGAACAGAGGCTTGCATCTTGTATTGGGTAAACCAGTTTTAGTGTTTTGTACATGTACTTCTGTAAAGAGTAAGGCACTAGAGTGCGTCTTGAAGTGGAGGATCAAAAATTGGTTGATGGTCATCTTCAGCAGATATCATATGACTTTGTAATAATATTTCAGCATAGATCAACTTTTATATGCTTTTCTGTTGTACTTTACAAGTTTTTACTTAGATGTGTGATAAATCATTGAAGAGAATTTTCAATTTTAAAATAATACTAGCTGTGCCAACAAACAGAGGTGGTAACAGGCTCCTTGTCAAGTACTAGTGATATTACAGATTAAAGAAAATGTTCTTCTGTGCCCCGAGCCATGTTTTTAGTGTCCTATATTTATTCCATGTCACTGTGTGTTTGCGTTCATCCTTCAAATGGTCTTACTGTCGTCATCATAAGCGTTTGCTTATGGAAATGAATTCACACCAACAAAGCTGTGGACTGCAGTGTCAGATGGAATCTAGTTTCTTTAATAAACCATGGTCTTCATGTTTTAAAAGTAAAAATTAGTGTTTTTTTAAGATGTGACTTTTTCCTTAACTGTCTTATTTATTAACATTTAATTTCAAGTCTAATTTTTTTAAAAATGTTCAACTGTTATATGCATAGCATGCTGGTAACATATGATGTAATATTGAGGTACACTTATTTTTTAATGGATAGAGCAGGAAAGAGTTTGAACCCCAGTCAGGCTATTATTTCTGTTTGTTTCCATGTTCAAGAAAAATGTTTCTTACTTCTTCATGGAAATCCATTCTACTCAACAAGAGGAGCCATCTCATTTTGTAGCTGTCCCCAGAAAAAGTGTGTTTCTATTTGGAGATCTCCCCTCATCTATTCTCCCCATGCTTTTTGTCCAGGTGACAGATGTCAAAGTGACAGGAAGTGCGAGTGAATCTCTTTTAACTGGAGAAATAAAAACCTGACACAGCTCCTATCCATTTTCTACACTTTCTAAAATGTAGTTGACTGTTTAAAAGAAAATAATTAATACATAATCTCATGCACTATCTTTCTATTTTTATTATCAAGATGAGAACAGAGCTTTATTTCCTGTCATCTCAAAAAAATCGCCCTAGCCTCTTTGGAATGCCATTGATTGTCCCGTGCACTGTCCATACCCGCAAGAAAGATCTGTATGATGCTGTGTGGATTCAGGTCTCAAGACTTGCAAGTCCTCTTCCGCCACAGGAAGCAAGCAATCATGCTCAAGACTGGTACGTAAATGTAATGAAAGCCATTTGATGGTGGTGGAGGGCAAAGAACAAATTAGAATGTGACCTATATACAGAAAAACTTAACTAAACCTTTTTCTCAAGTAGTTCAAACTGTTATGTTTCTAATCGAGTATTAAAAAAAAAAACGTTTATGATTTTGTTACTATGATGGTCTCCCCACCTTTTGTATATATTGCCCCAAAACTTGTTGAGGTTAGCCTGTTAAACATTTGATTAGTCCTCTTTAGTGTTATATCATATTTTTATTTCTAAATGATAGTCATGTGGGGCTTCACTTACCTTCCGCTTTAACAATGACTTTGCCCATTTCGGATGTTATTCATCAGTGAATCAGTATTTGAAATGCTGGGTGTATCTTAGGCCACACATTATGGTGGTACACTGAAGGCATTAATGAGGAATTATGCATATGCTGTTTGTTTAGAAAAATTTGGTTTGGAGAAAGATGTAGGGCCTGTCATTCAAAGTTAATTGACAGGTGTACTGTATATGACCTGCAGTTCATCTGCTGCTGATTAGCATTTGACCTGCTTCAAGTGGGTTCTGCATTGGCTCCAAGTACATGCATAATTGCAAACTATACATATGGGAGGATTTTAAAATAATTACACAGCTTGACATGACTATATTAATTTAAGATAATGAGACATAAATAGTCCACTTTACTTTGTACAAAAAATGTAGAACTTAGTAAACTTTACCTTGGTATGTTGAGATAGGAGTACCCTGGGAACCCTTTGCGTGCGCCCTGCAGGTGCATATACGGCCTATTGTGAAAAACTTGTAATAGTAACCCATATTAACTGACCAATAATCAGATTTTAAGTACACGCTAAGCTGCTAAAAGCTGACTAGTGATTGGTCACTGCATAATTTTTGTCTTTTGTTATGTAATTAAAAAATCTTGTGTACTACCTGAATAAATATGTAATTGTTATGATAATGGCAGCTAATTATGTGCAGATAATTACCATTTGTGAAAAAAGTAACCATAAACCGTACTATGCTTTTTTCTTAATTTCCAGTGATGACAGCATGGGATACCAATATCCTTTCACACTAAGAGTGGTGCAGAAGGATGGCAATTCATGTGCACAGTGCCCTTGGTATAGGTAAATGGTTAAATTGTAAATTCACTTTTAAGTATTCATAAATATGCTTTTATTTGAATGAAGTTGAATATGTTTACTTCTCATTTATGTTTTGAAAATGATTTACCCGTTTTAAAATAAATGTGCTATTAGGTGTCCTTTTCATTTGCAGATGAAAGAGGAGCTTGCGGATTGTTGTTTATGCAGCACATTCTGAATATGATTTGTAGGATATTTTTGGCAAAATCAGTAAAATAATTGTAGGTGTCATCTCACTGTCATGGAGTCTGTTCAAAATATTGCAGTCGAGTCACTAGGAACCCATGACAGCTGTTTTTTTTTTTAACATATGCATGTAATTATTTCCAAAACACTCCTGTTTATTCCAGTTCTTGTGTAAGCTATGCAATTGCTAGAGCTGTTTTGTGAGCTGGTCATGTATTACTTAATATTAATTCCACCAAATATTTAGATGTCAATAACATGATTGGGATTGTTCAATGACAAGTGGTTATAGTTTGCTTTGTTATGAAATGGATTTGCCAGAAAAATTATTTTTTGCTAAAGGTTAAAGAAATACCAAATCATTAGAGCAACACTGCTTGTCAATAAGGTAGATTTTATTTTATTAGGAAGCACCTAATAAAGCAGGTTCTATTGTCAGGCATGAGTGTTGTTACATTGGGTTTACTAAGCCTGGTGCATATACTGTTTTTCAAGTTTCTTATGCAGAGTTGCATTTACCTCAATCAATTTGTGAATTATATTTCCAAAACAGTTTAATACATTTCAAACCATAGATGACCTAAAATAGCCAATTTACCTGCTGTTTCATCTAGGGATAAGAAAGCCTTTATTTAGATTGAAGAGCCTAATTAGCACAATGAATTGATTTTGCTGCACCATCACTTGTCCGTCGAATTTATATGATATAGATCTGTTGTTTCATGTCTTTACATGTAGCTCTTCTCTTTAATTTTAATCTAGGTTTTGTAGAGGATGCAAGATCGATTGCGCTGAAGACCGTGCATATATTGGCAATGCTTACATTGCTGTGGATTGGGATCCAACAGCCCTACATTTACGTTACCAGACATCTCAGGAAAGGGTAAGACGATCCATTGTGGACTAGATCTTTTTGTTCCTCTTTTAATCCTGGGGTTAATAAATATCTAATGCAGCAACCAACATACAACATGGATTGTTGGATCGACAATTAAATGATTGGATTCTGATTTAGCTGAGATTAGCTTTGAAATTACCATAAATGATACGATTTATCAGAGAAGACCTTTTGCATACCCTTGTTTAAAGGATTAATGGGTAGCTTGCTCCCTGAGCACTTTTTATGTTTGGAGCAAAATGAGTGTATAAAACCAAACTGCTTAATATATGTATATGTAAAAGGGAAAATGCTTACCTTAATCTTGCTGTAATTTTTGCTTTCCTGGCACCTCTTCATGTCAGCCTATCATGGGTTAGCTCTGCCCTCATGAGTCTCCTAGGACAACCCCCAACTAGCCCTTAAAAGTGTACAGTCTCCTTAACCTCACTTTTTAATCGCAAGAACTCATGACTGACAATGGAGGGGGACCGCATGACTGACATGAGACGCTGCTAGGAAAGAAAATTACTGTAAGTATCAAGTACTAATGTATAAAATACAGTTTTTTTGTATTCCTGGCCTTCCTAATGTCAGCCTACTGTGGGACGTGCTAACTATGTGAAAATAAAGCAAATCGCAGCAAAAATAATGCAGGAATAATTTTATTAGAAAGAACAGCAGAACGGATAAGGTGTCCAGTGTGTCAGCAGAACCAAATTTGATAAAGGAAAGTGTTGGGTATGTTTCAACATTTGCAATTCTACAGATTGACTCCACAGGAACCTTGGCATTGCTTGCACATGAAGTGGACATCCCTCTTGTAAAGTGAGCCTGAATTTCTGATGGGAAGAAAAACCCATGGACATATAGGCCAGTTTGATGGTCCTCGCCATTCAAGTCAAAATTATTCTAGGTGGAGCCGCTGTGCCTTTTCTTGAGTCTTGAGGGAAACAGAAAATGATTTCCATCTTGTTTGAAAGACCATGACTTTTCCAAGTATACTGAAAGGCTGTGCACAAGATCCAGCTTAGGCTACTTCTTTTCGTCTTGCTGTAGCTCAGATGGGCTAAAGCCAACATTTCTGTCTCCCAGCTGATATGGAAAGGGATGACATCCTGGACAAGAAAGTGGTAACTTGCTTCAGGATTATTCTATCAGGAAGTCTCAAACAGAATGGCCCCTTTTCTGAAAAGGCTGGCATCTCCAAAACTCGTTTCGCAGTGGTGATTGCTACTGGGAAGACTGTTCAAATTCCACACAGAACAAGTCTCAAATGGATGAAAAGGAAGGTGCCATCAATGCTTTTGGGACCAGAGTAAGATTGCACTTTGGAAAGAGAGGTCTTGTTGGAGGCTAAATCTTTGCTACCGTCTTCATAGACTGCACAACTAGATGTTAGACCACTACAGAGATCTATAGAGGCCATACCTTGCCCTGCTCTCACCATGAACATGTCCAGCGATTCCAGCTTAAAGACTAGTGTTGTCATAAAGGAATTGGGAAAATGCAGTAGACCCCCCTACTTTCTCCTCTGGACTGTCACCAGTGTGACAGCCTGGGAATGCATGTTTTTGGCATATGATAGACACTGCAACTCAGGGGTGTGGAATTCCTATCGCCCGACGCCCGGGACAGGCAGTTTCGGGCGCCGGCCAAGTAGTTTTTTAATACATTCAGCCCTGCTCCGGACAAGCAGAGCTGAATGTGCAGTGGGAGCCGCCGCTCGTTTTCATACAAGTGATCACTTGTATGAAGCGAGAATCGGCAATCCTGTGCGCCCCCGCGGTTTTCGGGTGTCCCCCGATCCTCTATGAACTTTTAAAACTTTTTTTAGTTGTATTGGGACAAGTAGATTGTCATGAAGGACAAGTAGATTTGACCCCCGCTTTAGCCCTTGGACAAGTAGTTTTTTCAAAAATTTCCACACCCCTGCAACTTGATTTTGGATGCCGGAAGGCGATTGGTGACAAAGTGCGTATGAGGTGGTCTGTTCCTGATTTACCTTCAAAAAACTTTTTCATAGCTTTGCTGCACTGAGGAGCTTTGGAATTGTGACATGTGGATGAAGGCTGACCTGAACACCAAGCTGGTCAGAAGGATTCCCTTGCTGTTTGGTACAATCTGGCATTTCTAAATCTATCCCTGGCTGCCCTGATCCAAAAGTGCTGACGCTGTCTCCTTTTCTACTTTTTTTTGGAGCTTAATGGCCTCCTCTATATCTTGCAAAAAAGTGAATTCCCACCGAAAGGTATAGAGCATAAACTTTGTTTTAAGATGGCATCTGTGGACCATTGTTTGAGACATAGCACCCTTCTGGTTGTTACTGAATTCAACGTCACCTGTTCCACCACTGCCTCTGTGATGAAGTGTGTACCGATAGCTTGAGATTTTCTAGAGCAGAGCATAGATTCGCCACATCTGCATCCCCCTGGATGTTGCAGTCTTCAACAAAAACATCCACTGCAAATCCCTGCATACTGATGGCAGGGCCACAAATGGTTTTCATACCACATCGGCCACTGAAAAAACTCTCTGGGATGCGTGCCAATTCTACAGCCCATTGCATCTCTGAAGCAAGTTGAGTCATCCAAGGGGAGCATGACAAAACATGCATCACACAGTTTCCCCCTATTTTGACTGCAAATCTTCGAAGGAAAAATCAGATCTCGTTCTGGGTTCTGACTACAGACTTGCTTCCTCCACTGAGGAATCTGATACCCTCTCTCTGGAAGTTGGTGGCTTATTGTGCCCTTATAAAGTACTTTCATGGTCTGGGCCACTGTCTGGCGAATAAAAAGACCGTAGTATGTGTGCCGCCACCTCCTTGCTCAGTGATGCCTATTTAGGTTATCTTCCACAAAAAACGGTAACAAGGCAGCCATTTGTATAAAGGGAAAGCTGTGCTCTACCCATTTAGAGAAATCAGCAATTTTAGTCCTCTAGCTGCTGGGATGTAAGGTAGTTTCAAAGCATTGTTTGTTATTATTCTAAAGAGGAATACTGCTATATTTAGCAAATTATAGAGCTTTATTGTGTATTTTATTATATTTACCGTTTTGACTGCAGTTCTACTTTACTCCATTTATTTTGGTAACACTTCTGCATACTTTTTACTCTTGTGTACAGATCGTAGAAGAGCATGAAAGTGTGGAACAAAGTCGTAGAGCACAAGCAGAGCCCATTAATCTGGATAGCTGCCTTCGGGCTTTCACCAGTGAAGAAGAACTGGGAGAAGATGAAATGTATTATTGTTCAAAATGTAAAACCCACTGTTTGGCCACAAAGAAACTTGACCTCTGGAGACTCCCGCCAATTCTGGTAGCTCCTCATTTTACTTTTAAATACTTCTTAGTGATGATTAGCAGATGCTTGGTTTCCAGTTATCAGTCAACTGAAACAAAGATTTTCTTGTTATTTTGGCTTGGTAGATTCATTACCTGACAGTATCATAACTTAACTTCTGACAAGCATATAAATAGCCATGCATAATCTAGTAATGATTTTGTTCACTTTTATTCAATACCACCAAAATAATGTCATTTATAACTAGTGTGTTGTCTAGTACAATATCACTAGATATCCTTCCTACTTGGTTAACTGCAGAGTGGATATGACACATGCCATATGCTTAAGTTCTCATTTTGTGCTTGCTATCTTGTTACCCATCTGCATAAATCTCCAAAGGACACAGTCTGGTCCGGTTCCAACTTCTCTGAGAATAAAAGATGAACTTTGACTTGTTGCTACTGGCGACAGCTCAACTTTTGCTCTAGTTGAGCTGAGTCTATTTATAAGATATGTCTACAAGAAGAATCTTTAGTGTTTTCTATGGTCTGTGTCTACCTAGCTCTAGGACAGTATAGGAATCAAAAAGTGATTTCTTTCTTTGGGCATCACAGTTTCACTATGTGTTTTTATGAGGCTACTAGTCAGAAATAAAGAGATATCTAAAAGAGAGACATAGTTTCATAAAAAACAACAACAAAGGCAGAGAGTCATATGTGGAGAAAGAGCAATGTAAAAGTTTAGGGTTTATATCCGAACTCCAGATAAAAAAACAATATTCGCACATTGCACCAAACTCCCGACTCTGCATGCGATGAAGGCTATTTGGGTCATTCATACTCCACCTCCCCCATTTATAAAATGTCTTGTGTTCTTTTACAGAATACAAGGTGTACTGTGATTAGATGAGGGAAAATTGCAATGTCCATCCCTCCCTCATCCAGTCACAGAGCACCACAGCAGTATCCACCAACTGAACACACATTGTTAGGGGAAATTCATTTTTACATAGCAAATGTGAAAATATAGTTTCAGTTCAGCGTTAAGTAGTACTCTTTGTTTAATAACTTGTTATTAACCTCACTATCTGTCCCCAAAAAAGGGTATAAAATTCATTTCAGTACAGTGCTGCATGACGGAATAAATGTCAGTCAAAGTACCGCAGCGCTGAATACTGAAAAATGGCCTGGATGGGAAGGGGGTTTAACACCGCGGATGTCAACTGGTTAAAGATGCAATTTTTCAGGACCAGTTACATTCCCTTTTCAGGTGTTATAAGATTCTGAAAACTATATTTTTAATCTTGTAGAAACAAAAACCATGAAATTCAACTATTGTTTTCCCATATTTTTTTATATGGATAGTAAGCAGGGCTTAGGAGGGTTATTGGGTTTATTGACCTAAGTTGTGTAGATAAAGTCCAAACTTTCCGCATCAATGCCTATCCCCGTATAAAATTATCCTACTGCTGCTGAGAAAGAAAAAAAAAACAACAAAAAAGTAGTGAACAGACAAGGATTAATGCCAGTTGGATTTCTTTATATGTTTGCGAGCATATGCATTGCTTCTGCTTATTTCTTTAAATTAGCCCAAAGTGTTCTAAATGGTCTCATTATGTTACAGATTTAGTTTGAATGACATTGTGGTAATTTTCTATTAATTCAAAGCATTTCTCAATCTTAGATTATCCATTTAAAGCGTTTCCAGTTTGTAAATGGCCGTTGGATAAAGTCTCAAAAAATTGTCAAATTTCCAAGAGAGAAATTTGATCCAAGTGCTTTTTTGGTACCTCGAGGACCAGCACAGTACCAGAAAAAAAGAGCCAGACTTCAGGTTGATGACCAGACTGAGCCACGCTTCACACAGGGAGACCAGAAAAAAATGGATTTGATGAACTCTTCTGCTGTAGATGGAGATGCAATCAGCAAAATCCAACCAGTCATCAGTTCTTCCATAGTTAATAGTAGTAAAGGTACTATTTATTCTTATTGTTTTAGAGTTAGAATATATAGTTACTTTTCAGTATAAAGCTATTGTGCTATGATTGAAGGTCTGGCTTAAGCTGGCAATTCATTATGCAATTTTAGGTTGGTTCCTCGGGAAACATGCGTGGGTTCCTCAATCAAAGCTCGTAAGCTATGATGGAGGAATCTGTTCTTTCTTTCTTTGTGCTGAACGGAGAAAAAAAGAACAGTGTATGGCCAGCTTTAGTGCCTTGGCTGTGTAGTCTGTCTGCAGCTACACAGATTTTCATCAACAATCTAACCAAAGGTATTAATGCAAATGCTTCAAGTAGAATTATACTCCCTTATCCTTTACAGCTAAGTTCCATCTTAGCCTCTTTTTGGATTGCTGTTACCATGGTGCTGCACATGTGATCAACTATGACTCCAGCCATTTGAGGGTTTGAAAGTTTGGCTGAGAGCTGAAATAAGCACACTGGAAACCTTGACAGTTGGTATGCTTTAAAAGTAACAGTTTTGGAATGTCCGCTTTAAGGGTCAACATTCAAAGCGGTCATGTTGAACAGCAAATGTTTTGATCCAGGATTAAAAGAAAAATGATCACTATTTCGTTTTTAATTTTTGTTTTGTTTTGGCTTTTTAACCTTCTTTTTTTTTTTTATTTCATGGGCAGTGGGGAATACTTGATTGGGGTATGTAAATTGGGTTTGAAGCTACTTATCACTGCTTAGGTTGCAAGTGGGACATTTCACTGTGATGACACATGCCAGATCAATAGGGGATTCTCTCACAAGGCCCATTCTTTCTTCAAAACTCCTGTAGATATACATGTTGGTGGTCAAGAGGATACAAGCGCATACTGTTGCCAGTTAAAGCCCTCCTGAACTTTCAGTTTGAATCAGATATTCAATACATTGCAGTTCATTTTCTTTCTAAAGCATATACAGGCCTCAACAGAAAAGCCTGCATCCTACCAGCAGCAGTATTGTGGGACCCTTGCTCTTGGGGAAGCAGTGGTATATCTCTGCCAACAAGAAACCTTATCAGTAAAGCTCCAGGGTGATTAGAGAGCTCTGGCTTTGACTCGGCAGGGGGTGTGTTGGACCACTTCAACCAGATCACTGTTTCCCCATAGAGAGCAGAGTCCCTCTCTGGAGCTACTGGCAGGAAGCAAGATTTTCTACTATATCTGGCCATACACTGTACAGAATTTGACCAGTGGGTGGCTCTTTAGGGGCCCATTTGAACAAGCCAGTCAAAAATTATTGGCCGTACAGTGACTGCAGTCATTCAGCTCCAGTCACTAATTGGGAGGGTTCCGACAGTGGTGTACCCACTGGTGGGGGGGATTACCTATATCCACGCTGATTAGTGTCTATAAGGAGAACTATGAGGTGAGTGACCTGTGACAGTTTCATTGTCACAGGTCGGCTCAGTAGATCGGGAAGTGAGCAAACACATACCGGCGTTCGCTCACTTCTCGATCCTGGCACGGCACTCTGCCGTGACAGGGGAGGGACTGGATTCCCCCCTCCGATCCTCCAGCGCTGACTGGCGGAACGGACAGGGGAGGGGGTGGATTACAGCTGGCTCTGCCTCTAGATAGCTGTAGCTTTACCCTTAGGAGAACTATGGGGAAAGCAGGCCACTTTTCTTTAGGTTTCATTTAACCAGTATGGTAGTATGTGTGTCAATATCAGTCAGTTTTCATCTTAGCAACCAGTCCTGGTCTCTCTTTCATGTTTTTCCTTCCCTATTAGCAGAAATGGAAGAAGCTGAATTAATTCTGCAAGGGAAATACAGAAGGTTCTAAAGCTTGACTCCTTACCTGAGGACCAGTATGCATATGTAAAGTAAGCCTGTGGCTAATCTACCAATGTGAATGCAACAAAGGCACATAGCCACTTCTGAATAGTGATAGGTTTATTTCAACAACCCTACATAAGATTAAGTGTTTTACAGATAAATGTATTTATTATCTAGTTGTACTGTACTTTATACACCACCTATGATGGAAAAACAGCTATAGGGAAAGTGTCCTAAAGTTTGCATAGTGATTTGAAATTGACTTCTTTTACAGCATCTCCATCACAAAAAAGGAAAGCATCTTCAAACTCCTCAAGTAAAAATAGCAGTCCCAACCATAGCCCCAGATGCCTAGGGAGAGGTAAAGGCCGCCTACGTTTACCTCAGCTTGGAGGCAAGAAACTTTCAAGCAGCAAAGAGAATTTGGATCAAAGCAAAGAAAATGGCACAGATAGTGAGTCAAGAGAGACTGTGGATCAGCTAGACTCAAATAAAGGACATGTTTTAAGTGGAAGCCAAACTGAATTAGCTGTCAGTCAGGAATGTGAGGTGGCGCTAACCAATGGACTGAATTATGAGCTGAATACATGCAGCAATGGTCAGCTTGATAACCACACGGCTGAGGAGGAGGACATCACTGATGACCAAAGAGAAGACATCTGCTGTCAGCCTATCTATAATCTTTATGCAATTTCGGTAATCTAAAGTCTTTAAATGTAATACAGTGCAAAATGTCTGCCTTTTTACACATGTATCACTTTGTATGCTCTGTTTGTGATGGCAGTATGCAATTGCAGTGGGGGTTTTTTAAACTCCAGCTTGGAGCAACAAGTTGCTATATGCATATTGAGCTCCTAGGTTTGGAACTCTTGCAGAGATTAAGGAGAGAAAGTGGTATATGCAGGCCTTTTTTAGCCCCTGCATTTAACTTGGTAAGTTGGCTTTACCATTTTAAAGGGTTATTAAACCCTCCGTTTTTTTGCACATATCTACTGCTAGCAAGCAGTAGATATATGCAAAAAGTGTGAAAAAAAAGAAATAAACGCTTTGAAAAGGGTTAATACTTACCTGTGTCTTGCCCGCGCGCTCCCGTCCGAAAATGTGAAAATTCTCGGGCGGCCGCAAAGCATCCTGGGGCAGCGCATGCGCATTTCACATTTTCGGCCAGGACGCAAGGAGAGACACAAGGTAAGTCTATGGACGCGTGCACCCACATGCAGACACCGTGGGACAGGAAGCACCAGCAAGCTCAGAGGAGTGAGCGCTGGTTCTGAGACCCGACGGAGCGCTGGAGATGAAAACGCCAGGAAAGAAGAAGATTGGATTAAGAAACATCATTTAAGGTAAGTGCTTTAATTAACATTGGGGGGAGGGAAAAAGATTTTTGACTTTAATGTCACTTTAACTTTATGGCAGGGGTTACATTAGGGTTTTGTTTTTTTATTGCTGATGGGTATAGGCAGGTCAGAAGGAAAAAGGTAAAGCAGTAAAGTACGAGATTCATTCAGTATGTCATTTCATCAGTACTTAAGCATTCAGTCACTGGATATGGAGGAGAAAACATAGGGCATGTAAGAGGTTAAACATGCATGCATAGTCTCCACACTGGTAGCACTGTACGTTGGCTTGAAAATTAGAAGCATCTTATTTTGCTAAAATAAAGAAATAAAATACAATTATTAAATAAAATACAATCACAATGTGAATGAGTAAACTAAACATGAGATTATAGTCCATCACAGGAGTGATCTTGAAGTGGTGGTTACTTTATAACTCGCACAGGGACCAGAAGGAAGGACAGTGTCGGCACCAATTCAGAGATGATTTGAGGATCTACAGCCGAGCGAAACACAAAGATACATTTTTGTTAATAGTTGAGGTCCTTGAATGCATTTTTAAGATTTAGCTCCTGAGTTTAGTGTCACTTTAAGTAAGACATGGAAACATCCAGCATTGCCATTTGCTTTTGAAAAGTATGCCATTGTATGAATTTTTATTTGTATTGTTTTTTGTTTTTTAGTGCCATTCAGGAATAATGGGTGGAGGTCATTATGTTACTTATGCCAAAAATCCAAACGGAAAATGGTACTGCTACAATGACAGCAGTTGTAAGGTAAGACGTTTTTTTTTTCTTTTCCATTAACCTCCAATGTAATATTTCCTTGTCTCAAAATATATTTCTCTCTCTCTCTCTCTCTCTCTCTCTCTCTCTCTCTCTCTCTCTCTAGATATATCTATAGATATAGATATATCTATAGATATATCTATAGATATATATAAATAATTTACACTTAAAGTACACATTTTAAATTAGCATTGTGAAAACCTTTTCCTTGTGCATGACTTTTCATCTAAGCATTATCCAACTGCCATTCCCATTTTCAATGGGAAAATCAGTGGCTGGTAACACCCCCTGCCCCTCAATTTACGTTAAAATCCCCCTGGACAGCTCCCTGTGCCGGGAGGATGTTAAAGTCTTGTGTTAACAGTTGCAGCACCCTCTGGCAGTCTCTCTGATCTCCAGGGGAGAGCTGCACGGTGGAGAGACACAGCTGTTACCGATCATGTGAGCAGCATGGTTAACCCTTTCACTGCCGCCACCATTACTATGTTAGAGCCGTCTCGTATGCAGAAGCCAGGTACACAACAGATTGGGGAAACTAGAATATGTACAGACCAATATCCTTTAACCAATTGGCATCTACTCTGTTTGAAAGATAACGTACAGATGGCATTTTACTTGGCCATGGAATGACTAAGACCTGGTTCCCTCTATTAAACCATTATTCAAGGAAGCATTTTTCAACCGATTTTCAGTCATGGCACCTTTTAAAAGTATGCAAAATCTCAAGGCTCTCCAGTCTAAAATGTAAAAAGTGAAAAACAATGTGTGCCCCGCCCCTATATCAATACCAGACCTGCCCCTATATCAATACCAGACCCCTATCCTAGACAGGGGTCTGGTATTAAAATTAAAGTGGGGCCCCAGTCAAAGAAACAAACATGGAGTTTCCCTCTTTAACACCAGAGTCCCATACTTTCACATCAGAAGCCCTCCTTTGCAAAAATTTGACCGCACCCCTGACAATTTCAGAAGACACCCAGAGTGCTGGAGCACTCTGGTTGAGAAAGGCTGACCTAAGGCAGTTCATGACAGATGTTCTGGGGCAGTTTGCCTTCCATTCTTTAAGTTGTCTGAAATTTTTTTTTTTAAAGTTAAGATGCCTTTGATACTGTCTGTACTGTCTGAAAGAATCTCTGGTAACTGTAATGACCACCCTAACCATTCTCATGTGAATCTTTATTGTAAACAGGAACTACATCCTGATGAAATTGACACAGACTCAGCCTACATCCTTTTCTATGAGCAGCAAGGGGTGGACTATGCACAATTCCTGCCAAAGATTGATGGGAAAAAAATGGCAGACACTAGCAGCATGGATGAAGATTTTGAATCAGACTATAAAAAATATTGTGTGCTTCAATAACATGGCTATGCTTCCAGTATGTTCAACTTAAACATTGAAGGGACAATAGAAAATGAAAAGGAGCGATGTTGAATCATTTTTAAGAACTCATTAATCAATCTAAACATACTAGTGTTGAGGTCACCCATGCATGTAGGGCCATTCAACAAAAATAGACAATAGGGTAACATGACATTGTTGTTTTAAATATTCTATTTTGTTCAATAAGGTGGTTTTATGTTTATTTTAATTTTTTTTTCCTTTTACTTTCTTGGGAAGAGTGCATAGGGACAACATAAATATTAAGTTACTTTAAACAACAAGAATATTTTTAGTAGAGGATGGGAATTGTATGATATAAAGGAGTATTGTACAATGTTGCCATGCATATACTGGACTATTTGGAATGCATGTAGTTAAAGTGCAATGCTGTGCAATACTTTTCAATAACTAATCAGAAATCAACGTCTTTTTGCTCTATTTAGCCAAAGCAATCGACGTTGAGTTTTGAGTGCTTTCTGTGGGTAAACAGCACATACATATTCCTTACACTGATATTAAAGTAAACCCATCATGAGCAATACAGAGGCAGCCATTCTTCTGAAACGGCAAGTTGTCTGTTTGCTGTCCCACTGTCTTCAGTGCCTTGGGTCACTTACAGGAAACAAGTATGCAGATCAAAAACATGTTTGTTTCATGTTACTGGTTAAAAGTATCCAAGTAAGCCAGCATGAAAGCCAACCAATTGGTGTTTTCACAGGGAGCATTCAAAATGGCAGCCTATGTATTTCTCATAGGACAGGCTTCCCTTAAATGCAGTTGTTTATGTGCTCTCTGACTGGGAATCATCATGGCACACAAACGAGATGCATTTCCTGCTTTCCCTTGGAAAATACCTAGAAGTGTGAACTTTTAAACTAGGTCTTCAGTATCTTCAGGGATTTTTTGGTCTTTTCTTTCCTGTCTGTTGACTATTTGCAGATTGCGACACAGACAATGCACTACCTATAGTGCATATGTTCTAGTAAACTTAAGCATTGCACTTTAACAACATTGTACTATCTACATTAATGTCTCCTCCCAGTGAAAAGTATATTCTACTGTTTGCAGTTTTCTAGGATGCAGGCACAAACTTAAGTTGAGGTTCAAACGCTAATGATTTTAGATGAAGTAAATGCTCAACTTCTATATATGATGATGATAATGAAAGGTAATCCATTCTTAATTAATGCAAAAAGAAAATAGTTGGGAAAAGCTAGGAAAAGTTGCTATATATAAGGACAACAATCTGTCATACATGTCCTCTCACATTTAGTGCTTGCTTTATTTGTATGTTACTCTACCTAAGCACAAATAATGAACTATCTGAATTTTGATAGGGTTGTTTTTTTTTTTACACCTTTATATGAAACTTTATCTTTACTGAAACTTTACGAAGAAATGTGAAATATTTGATGGATTAATTGGTTAAAGGACATTTCTATTCGCACTGAAATCCCATATCTTCTTGGAATCCCGCCATTCTGTAACACAGAGGGTCCCCACCCCCAGCAGGGTCTTTTTCTGTTTACAATATTATGTAGACTATAGACCCACCGTTTGTGTTTTATAGTTGCGTTACTGTACTAAATTTTAGGCAAGTGCAGGAGAAAATAATTGCAGCTTTAAATACACCTCCACTTTAGTGTTATGAGAAATCACAAGCAAATACTGGGTTTGACCTTTTAACTGGAAATCCCGATTGAATAGTGAAAAAGTTGCCATGTGTTGAACTGCATGAGTTGGCTTCTTAGCCCAAGACAGACTGGTGCTTATCAAACCCCACCTCTGTGTGCAGTAGAAACATAATATTAAATCTACTTTTTTATGGTGCCATTAAATGTCTGCTGTTTAGTGCCACACTGTGGAATATAATCCTTGTAACACAAACGTTCTAGTTATCTTGGTTCCGTTTTCCCAAATTCCTTCTCAATATTTTGAACAAAACTTTTTTTGTGCTACTTGTAGGGCTTTTTCATAGGATTCCTCGTTTTGCAGGTACTATGGTGGAGGACGCCAATGCTGCAAAAAACTGTGAAAAGCTGAGGTCTTTTCTCCCTGCGTCCTACAAAATATACTGCAAATTGAACACAGATGCACACCCATGTTAAATATTTGCAGCTGTACTTTTACCATGCAGGCCACAAACGTGCTTTGTCTCTTCTTGATAAATTGTTTAGTATGTTAATTACTCTTAAGCAAGGTGTGTAATAATACTACAAGTCTTGACTTTGGACTTTTTAATCTGCCATACCTTTGACATTTGGGCAGCGTCCTAGTTATATTTTCTTCTGCAGCTCTTCATGCAGTTTACATGATCAGCATGCACAAAGTGCACGCTTCATTTTATGCTTATCTTTCCAGCGCCAGCCCGTGCATGATAAAAACCTTAAAATTAACACTGTAAGGATGAAGGTGGCCAGTTATACTTTTTTTCTCAGGAACATTATCAATATATCCAACAAATGAGAAATAAAAAGTTCTCATTCTGTGAAAAGGGAATGTCTCATATTGGTGCACAATTTCATGAACCTACCACCCATCGTGATTGTGTTGATAATCTAAAAAGGTGGCAGCAAATAATGCTGAGAAGCAGACCATAACATTTAATCACAACTGTTATTTTTCTAGAGCACTGGAAAACAACAATGTATACATTTCTGACACTTGGCAGCCTGTTCTTGCCCATATTTAAAATTAATCTGTGCCTAAACACTAAAGTATTTACATATCCTAGGCATTAAAAGCACTTGAAAACTAGCCCTTGTTCATCTCTGTAGCTATAGGCATTGTGAGGAAATTCATCTTCAAAGTTCACAACACAGAAATTGGAGAATGGGCAGTCAAAGTGGCAATGCAGTAGACTGCGGGTCAGCTAGCAGAGTAAGGAATACTATAATAAGGAAGCAGTATGCACTGGCAGGATCCCATTTTTAGAAAATGTTTACCACACATAGTAAGGTAAAACAGTTTTAGAGCCATTAAGAAAACCTAAATTGTTGTGGTTTACTGGGCATGCTTCTTTCTTTTAAGTCGCAGATAAGCACAATACATGTTTAACACAATCGGTCTATATTTACTTTTCTGCCTTTTAATGTTTCCTCCCCTTGGAAGGTATGCACATTTTTTATGTTATTTACTGAATCGTTAATGAACAAAATATCTTGACCCAAAAAGTGCTGACCCAGAACGTGCCCTACGTTAAGGAGCTGTCCAAAATCACCTGCAGAACTGGATGGGGGCCTCATCTGTGACAAGTAACAGGCATCCTGATAGCTTCTCTTCAGCAGTGTTCAGTGTATTTTGCCTAATAATCTTTTAGATGTGTGCTATCATCAAGGACCAAAAGCTCCAAGCCTAGTAAAAAAGTAAAATAAATAAATGATGGTCCTATAGTTAAAGTGTCAGGCGATTCAAGTAGCTGTATGCTTTTTATAGTTTGATCATTTCTGCTTCTCCAATTTTTTGCTTACACTTAAACCTTCATTTCTAATGTCAGGGTAGGATCCAAAGTCATGTTATTTTAAGGGGTTTTCTTGTATCAAATCATTAGCTTTTTTTTTTTTTTTAATGTGCATGAAACTTCTTAATGTACATATTACTGTTTTTACTAGTTTATTCTTTTTGCCATTTATGCTTGTTTGGCCACGTCTTTATTTGAGCAAGTGTCAAAGCCCTCATTAACAAACTTGTTGTCAGTGCTGTGTGGATTAGGGTGTTTGTGCCATGCTATGCCTCTGTTATCAGAGATAATGTTGTGTCTTTGCTGTACATTTGTCAACTGCTTTCAGGAAATATGAATGTTTTTTGTTTGTGGATCCTCATATAGTATCAAGGGATACCCCTATTCCATAGCGCCAAAGTTTTAAGCTGTTGTAGGTTTTACCTGCGGTGGTATGGCACGACCGTACAGTGCACAAGTTCTGTATGTGAATGTTATATCTAAAACTTAAGGCAAGTGCGCTAATCATGAACCCCGCTGTATTACTTACAGTGCTCTATTGGTTACTTCCATTTTATCCCTTATACACTCAGTAATTGTCCTCAAAAATGTGTGTTGGTAAGCACAGTTCACTTGATCTATCTGTCTTTCTGTCTGTCTATTCTATCTATCTATCCATTCTATCTGCCTATCTCTGTCTGTCTGCCTATCTATCTGTCTGTCTGTCTGCCTATCTATCTATCTATCTATCTGCCTATCTCTTGTCTATTTGTCTGTCTGTTTGTCTCTATGTATAGATAGAAAGATATTGCTCCCTTTTAGTAAGTAACACTTTATGATCCATCTGTGCCCAGGTTATTATTAATGGTATGTATATTTTGCATTAACATTTTTTTGAAGTTATCATATACCGTATTTTTCGCTCCATAAGACGCACTTTTTCCCCCCCAAAAGGTGGGCAAAAATGTCTGTGCATCCTATGGAGTGAATGTGTGAGAGCTCAGGCGGCGGGACTGACAGTGTACCTAGGGGTGTGGAATTTCTATCTCCCGACGCCCGGGACATGCAGTTTCGGGCGCTGGGCGAGTAGTTTTTTTGTACATTCAGCCCTGCTCCTGACAAGCAGAGCTAAATGTATAGTGTGGAGCCGCCGCTCGTTTTCATACAAGTGATCTGATTAGATCACTTGCGTGAAAGCAGCAGCGGCGATCCTGTCCGGCAGCCCCCTGCAGTTTTCGGGGCCCTCCACTTCTCTGGGGGACCTTTCTTCGTCTGCTCTGTGTGATCACTGAGGCCGTGGCTCTGTAATCACAGCGCCACCTGTCTTAGCTGCCAGGAACTACACAGAACCCTACCCTCCCTAGGTGCGTCTTATGGTCAGGTGCGTCTTATGGAGCGAAAAATACGGTATATTACAAGGCTCTCTAGTGTACCTTACCTACAAAATTTATGACCGCCACACATAAAACAACCAATTTTGCTGCCAAACAGTAGGCCCACAGTGAAATGTGATTAATAATACAGTGCATGGTTCTTAATTTTTCATTTAAAACAAAACTGCTTAAAACATTCTCAAATGATAGTGAAAAAAAATTGAACTGTATAACCCAAAATATTACAGTAATTTAATGTTAACAGCAGCAACAGGCAGCCAGACAATAAAAGTTGACAGTTTAGGATAAGATCATTATGGATAGACATAGACTGGCAGATGTCTCCTTTATCACACTGGCACACCCCATTCATTCACTACTT